AACACATTACACAGAAAAATAATGGTACAAAACAGATTTCTGAAAAATACATCTTGATGAGTGACAAATCTGGTAGAAAACCTCTTGAGGATTCAGGTAGGAGTAGACAGGAGATATATAAAAACTGCATCACACTGTTTACGTTTAATTCTTTTCATGAACTTCTATTCAAAAAGAGAACAGACTTTAAAGCAATCACAAAAAGAAAATCCAAGAGTATTAGTATAAATGTTTGTAAGTTTTCATAGACAGTATGTCTGTATTACATCCAACTTCCCTATTTAACATATGTTTCTTTGAAATGCCAGTAAGCAACATCTGCAGAATATCGTAATATTTCTACTGTTAAGTGCAATGAATTCAAATTTGGTAGACACTGTAACATGCACTGCCCTATAGTATGCTGGCATCTTTCTCTATTTGCTTTATTGGATTTATGTTTAGCATAGTGCAAATACCTAGAAATTATGGGATTGTGTGCATATTGATATAGTGCATGATGGCACAGCCAGAGTTTATTAAATATGGTACTCTTTCTTTTCTCTGACAGGTAGCAAGCGACAAAGGAGAAACACATATAACAACATCACAAGGCTGTAGCCTAATAGGAGGATATATATCCTTTACCTTTTCATGCCCTTCCTCCAGCTGAAGACAGGCTTGATTTGCACTACTGCAGCACTTGGCAGAGGGCTTTATTTGTCTTGGATGATGACCATATAATATGGAAACTAAAGGACTCTTCCAATTATTCCTTTTGTATAATTAATGACCCAAATTTCACATGATCACAGCTGACTATCGACCATCTGACATGTGGAGCTGCATAGAATAGATGTTCCAAGTCTTACAAAAATTCTTCTTTATGTTATACTACAAATTTTTCCAGTAACAGTCACTTCTGGTTATCTGCTCCACCCTCACCTTTTTTGGTAGAGGATGTGGACTTGTTTGCAGCCTACTATGAACATTTGTATCACAGTCATTAAGATGATTCAGTATTGATCAATTACTGTATTCTGTAGGCTAAAAAAGGTTACAAAAAATCAAATTATTCTACCTAAAGAGCTTTTTGATCTGAGTCATTTTACTGGCTAAAGCACAATGCTGTCAGTCTTTGTATACCTGGCTCTATTATTCACACAGTGTTTGATATCATTGAAATTACTTAAACTATACATGCTTTGGTTTCATTATTTTCTAAGTTCTAATATAAATAACTACACCTACTTCACAGCAAAAGGCATTAAGAGCTCATAAGAAATGGGATCATCTTCCATGTATGTTAACTCCACTGTTACACCCTCAATGATCTTAGTTGATCCAGACAAAGAGAGAAACAGTTGGATGTAAACATCAATTGGCTAAAGACACTTAGAAGCCCTGAAGTGAGATCAATGTATGAATGCTTGAATGATACTTCCTGTAAATTGAGTCACACTGCTGAGGCATACTAGGTGAGAACAAGAGGCCATCTAGCCCTTATCTCCAAGAGTGACCAACAACATATATGTGGAGAACATATGAACAGGATGAGTGTATAGCGATTCTTTTCTAAGACATTATTGCGCCCTCCAGTGACCTGAAAGTTACTTTGCCAAGGGGTGAATGGGGGCTCTGTGTATGTTTAGACTCTTCTGTTTGTTTTATTTTTCCTCTGTGAATTTTTAAACTCCTGTAAATTTTTGACTCATGTAAATTATTAGCATGCACAATATCCTACGGCTGAAGAGGAAGGAGAGAAAGGGACCTTTATTAACAGCCATTTATGAATAACTTGCCTGCCTCCCAGCACACAGCCCTGTCTCTGTTGGTGACTGCCTCTTCACTGTTAAAAAGAATTCTCATTTTACTTATTGATTCCTATAATTTTAAACAGCTACTTAGCCATGTAAACACATTTCCTCATATACTATGTTATCTAATTTTTCCTAACTTCTAGAGAGGATCTCTGCTGAGAACTTTTTAGACAATATCCCTTTCATCTGCCTATTTACCAGTCTGGCAACTCAGATTCCTCAGGGATCCATTCGTCCTCTGAAAAACACAGCACCTTTTTCCTTATGTACCACATGATGATCAAAGCTATTTAATCATGCAAGTTGATCTGTGAAATCCTCAGGTCTGCCCTTCTGCTACAGAGAGCTGGAGACTGATCACTAGTGAAATCCTTGATCTTTCTCATCTTCTGTCTTCTCAGATGTGAATCATATGAGTACGAAAATTCAGAGTAAAATTAGACATGTATCTACAGGATTTCCAAGCTACCAGACTTCCATTTAACACCTGAGTACATGGTCATTAGTGATGAAATTTTGTAAATTAAGTTCCACTAGATAGAATTACTTTAAACACTCAAGAGATTAACTGAAAAGGGGTGAGTTGCACCTCACCGAAATCAACCAACTGGCAGATAACTTAACATACAACAAAGAAAGTTTACGGCAACATAGAAAGACTTTCTAGGCCTTATGTTTATAGGAACGCTTTAGTTTTCAGCAATCTTCACAACGTTCCAGCAAATGTCCTAGTAATACTCTGTTAAAAAACAAAGGTTCAAAAGCGTACAGCTTCTCTATAAAACTTCACTCTTAAAATCCTCCTGATTGCCTACTTTTTGGAAAAAGTTCATGGGAGCACAGAAATTCAGATTAATGAGGATTAACAACAATGCACCCTACTAAACAAAAAGCACCTCTAATTACTAACTGCAGCTAACACAAAACTAATAACTAACTTCAATTCTCACTATTTGCTTTGTAGGTTCTAAGCATCCGATATATCTCAGATGTTTCTCTCCATATCCTCCCACTCCTTCTGTCACATTATGTCTCTTCAAAACTGCAAGGCTAAGGGAAAAAAGAGGCAATGTGAGAAAACTATATATAAATGTTTAATCATTACTGATGAATCTGCTGTTCAGCTTTTTGAAACATACTGATGAGGGAACGATGATCGTTTTATTCTAACAAATTTTAAGCCAACCAATCATCTGAATTGCTCATTCGCCTCTTTTGACAGATAAGTGATGAGTTCTACGTCAGAAGTGAAATCGCTCTCTTAAGCTTCTTCAGAACAACAGGAAGACTGCAAATTCAGCCCTCACTGTTTTCATATGCATTGCTCTGTTCAGCATTTACTCTTTAGCTATTACTTTTATTAAATAGTTACACAAGATTTCTTATAACAAGACCAGTCTTTTTTCTCTTCCATTAAGGCTGCTACTGAACACATCTGCACACTATGTGCTTCGGCACATCTATAGTTTCACCGTTATTTCAAGGCAAAATATATCATAATGCATTATAGAATTATGCAAGGCTCTTATTCTAGAGCCTACTTCGTCAATAAATTAAGTTTCTTTAAAAAAAATCCCAGATGGATTACTGTGGTTCAGAAACTTTACATAAAATCAAACACAGGCTGCTGTGTTCACCCGGAGTAAGCCAGACATGAACTGGCTCTTAATAGACCGCCAGCTTGGAATATTCTTTCTTTCCAGAAATTTTCCACCACACAAAATTCCTGCCTTCTCAGGGAAATAAAGCAGACGTGCCACACCTGTCACAGCAAAAGCAGAATAAGCCACCCTTTAAGTGATTCTGTCCTGCAGCCTCCACACAAAGCTTTCTGAGAAACAGAGAGAGTGCAGCCTTTTATCTTTCTAAAATAAGTGTCACCTGCCAGCCCAAATTTATGCTTTCCTCTCGGCACCTTAGTTGTTGAAAATTCCTACAATACTAGCAAGCTTCACGCATCCGACCTGCAATGCATAAGCATTTGTTCGTTCCAAAATGACCTCTCCCTGATTATACAGTCTTTCTCTAGTCAGTCATGCATGGAGAGCAATAGTCCTGCCTAAACACAACAGCTTAAGCCATGAAGCATGGGGCCTTTCTGTCCATCTTTTTAGTATGTATAACTACAAATGCTAACATAAGTCATAAAATCAATCAACCTGTTTTATGACTTGTTGTATTGTATTTCTATTCCGCAATAACTTTCCAAAACCAACAAAACAAGTGATATAGCACATACATGACAGTACAATGGTTGCCCTTAAAATCTGCTTTTACTGTTCTCCTCACTGTGTTTAGCACAGGCTACAGTGGCTAACCTAATTTGCCTCCCCCTTCCAAGACCACTGCTTCAAATCAATTAATTTAAATAGGTATTATAATAAAATTCTGCATTTTTTTCTGGTGAAAGATAGACTAGTACAAAACAAAAATCAAGACAGAATTACTGTTTAAACATGCATCTCATCTGGAACATTATCTGGAAGGTGCTCCTTCCTTCATCAAAACACTGTGCACTACCTTTGCTAGAAGACTGTATTCTCACTTTTCTCCCCCACACCAGCAATAAGTTTGTTCAAGCAATAATCTGTGTGACATTGCTAACGGCTTTATCTCTGAAGAGATACTCTGAATGCATTTTTTCATTACATCTAGCTCTACTCAAGGTACTTTGTTTTTATCATGATGACCGTTTTCCTGGTGAAACTTGGAGGAAAAGGTGCCTGAAGGTTCAGACAAGAAGACATTGCTTATTCTATAGCAGATTCAAATTAAGGAACACAGAATGACATATCACTGTTCGGAATTGTAGCATTATTATGCCATAGGCAGTAAAAAGAGACAGAATAACTTTAATACTGCTACTGGTGCCTTAATGTTAAAATCACAGTCTTAGTAGTACAACAGGCCTAACAAACCATGCTGCAGCACTAACAAAATCTCCTTAGTGATGGTATCTAGATAGAGGTTTTTTTAAGTCAATATTAAGAATTATAGCTTTTTTTTAAATCAAAACTTCCATCTACCAGATTTTGGGAGAATAATTTTTAGATCTTTCATAGTCTCTTCTAGAAAGCAGCCAAGCAAAAATACTCATAATCAGCTATACCTCTGAGTTATATACAGTTACAGAAAATGGATTTGGAGTCCCTGAAAAACATTTCATAGTTATCAGAAAAAAAATAGTTTAAAAAGCATTACCTGTAGTTGGCATTTGGAGGGGTATACACTTATCTGTTTGGACAGTGTCCTCAGGCAAGGAAACGAGTTTTTTGGCAAGCACTGCAGAAATTGGTTGTACTAACAGTGTTGTGAGGTTCAGTCGATTCTGTCTGTAGCTTCCATCTTACATGATAGAAAGAGAACAGCAATTTAGTAAGTGAAAATTAGAAGATTCTTCTTCTGCATCAACAAAACAAAACAAGCAAATATCTACAATGCAGCTTAAAACCATGGATTTAGATAAGTGGTTCCTGTTTTGCACTTACCTTACTGGGGAAATAAAACCAAAAACAAACCTTCAAGAACATGCACCACAAAATTACATGTAGAAATTACAGTATTTGGGGAACAGTTCCACAAGAAAGAAACTATCAAGAGTCCAAGCAGATACTAGATTGCGTATGACTTATAACACAACAATTAAATTGATGTGTAGTTAAAGGAATCGGCGAAAAGCAGAATTACTGATCAGCAATAAATTTCATATTCAAGTAAGAACTGAACACAGCCTTAGAGGGAAGAGCAGACATTTAAACAGCCTGAAATCACGCATAAGTATCTGTCTGCACTGAACGACGCTACTACTCACAAGGCTGGCTATTTTGCTATGGATGCCAAAATGTTTAAATTCTACAGAAGTTGTGCTACTTAGCAATAAAACTGTTTAAGGGGCGAGCTATCACACAAACAAGCTTTTGTGAGAACCTTGACAGGAAACACATCAGAGATGATGCATGTTGAAGATACACTGGCAACTTCATAAGACGTGCTATCTTACACAAAACAAAAAGCCTGAAAATTTTAATATGCATCTTCCTCTTTTAAAGGGAAAAATCTGATCATCTCATTGACTCAAAGTGGGTTCGATCCAGCTAAGGTAACTATAACTTATTTTACAAATGCAGGGGTGTTTCTGTAATGGAAGGCTGAAGGCTCAGCTGAAGGAGGTCTGGAATAAGAGCGTACTAAACAGACAGACAGGTCAAGTAGAGGAAGGTACAGGTCAAAAAGCATCCGAGTACGTCATTTACAGCTTTAGGATCTTCAGAAGCCACCACACAAACCTCCCAGTATCAGCAGATTCATGCAGATAGTTAAATCTCCCTTTAATTGAAAAAACGTGAGTTCCAATACACATGACTGTCCAACATTTAAGCATGGGAAGGCTTCTGATGAGATAATGAGATTTTTTGGGAGACCAACTGACAGAACTGTAAAAAAAGGTAAACTCTGCACATGGAAATGCTCTGCAGCACTTCAGGACAAAATGTTCAGCTGTTTTTCTCAACTATTTCAACTGACCTAATACAGGCATCATGTCTTCCCATGGAAAGCAAGAATAATCTTGCAGGTGAAAAGCCCCCCATGGAAATGGAGGTTCATAGCATAGGGCAGAAAACAGCTCTAGATCTAAAAGCCTTCCCATATACCTGCCCATACAGCATAATTTCCAAACTTCCAACTAGATATTAGAATACAAGGTCTCTCTCCGAGACCTCTATGAAACAAATACCGCATTTTGTGTTGACATGGAGTTCTTTAGAACCAGAAGGCATCCTTTACATTCTGTGTGACTACAATCACAAAAAGAAGCAGCTATCAGAAATCAGCAGTACACGTTCTAATAAATTTATACAAAATTACTATCAGGAGTGTTGTTACTGAACAACAATATAAAAAAAAAATCCACACACATCCTCCTTTTTTTATTTTTGCACTAGAAGCTCCTAAGACTTCTTACAGCATGCCCTTAATCATAACACAAAAGTCAACCAAGGCTATAACATTTAATTATGGGAAAAAATGTGCTGTTCAGCTTTAATACACAGGAGAAATGTTATCAGTGTTCACTTTGAAAGAATCGGACAGATTTTTAACTGGAAAGGTGAAACTGGTTCAAAACATGATAATTTAGAAAAAGTTTTGTCTTATCGAAGTTGGGCAGGGTTGAAAATCCCTCGAAGTTATTACTTCAGTAAATTGATGGTAAAATCAGTTTGCTCAAGCTTTGAGAGCCTGTTGCTGGAATCAAAAAGAATCCTAAAATGTCCATCAGAGATATGTACCTGAGACATCATTTTCTGTCTATTCTTTGTCAATCCGCAGACTATATTACAGGAGCAATGAAGCTCAAAACGTTGCAGATGAGAAGCATCTCTCCTTTCTCCATTTACCCACAACTTGAGCTTCACACCTGAATAAATTGTGAAAGATACACTTTTGAGAACAACTTCTAGGAGAAAACCTCCAATGTTTACAAATGAATTGTTTCACAATATAAGAAGGCATTTGAAGTATGGGATAAAAGAAAGAAAGAAAATATGTAAAATATAGAAAGGAACATTTAAGTTATCTGGAAGAAAAACTTTCTAATAAAAGGAATTCATAACGAGTGCCGGGGCAGGTGGTAAAACTCTCTGTAACTGAAAAATTTATAAATAAAAGACTAAACAAACATCTGTCAGGAATGACGTAGATATGACCAATCCCCTCCCTGAGGAAAGGTGGCAGATTAGATGACCTCTTGACATCTTTTTGCCAAGCCTGATCTCTACACGATTCTCTAGTAACTGAACTTCCTGAACTATTCACAATTAAGCAGTACTGGAATCAATATTAAAAAAAATTTAACGGAAAAGTAAGGGTTCTTTTCCCTCTGCCAGCCATTTATTAGTTGCCATGAGAGTACCTTATTTAGGACACTGAGGAAAGCTACCTGCATCATGATCAGGATTCAAAAGTGAAAGATTCAAGACCAATCTCCCCAGTAAAACACAGTGCACACTGAAAGATCTGGAGATGTCCAGGGCTACTAGTTAAAGCACTATCATTGACTTGTTAAATGCTCATGGGCTTGGTGCTGTACGAACTGCAAAACTGTGCAGTGCAACTTCATAATGAAACCAACACATGGAAAGAACTTTGCGAGATTCTTGCTTGCCCTTTCCCTGCTGGATGCCAAACTCCTTGGAGCACATAGTGCTTTCAGGATCTGTGAGCACAACAAATGCTTTGAGAACAATTTAATTTTGAGATTTTGCTTGTAATGAAATTTAGTTTTATAGCATGAACATCTTCCAAGAAACAGAATTCCTTCTTCTATGCAAGTCTTAACAATCTAACCATGCCAGGCCCAAAATGCTATTAATTTAGGAAAGACTCTAGAAAACATACTGGAATGCAAGAAAAAAAATATGCTAATCAATTTTTAAGTCACAAAAAGGGGTAATCTTTAGAAAGTTTCTGCACAGAAAGTGAGGACTACATTTCTACTTTTGCAATGACTGTGTTCTGCGTTTTCTCTTTCAATGCAAGCACAACCCTAGAGCATCAGTCTCCATACTGCTCAGTCTGGGATACACACTTGTAACCTAGCATTTCATCGTGTTCCACCACTTAGCTTACTGGTATTTGGAACATATTCTGAGATTTCTGAAAAGTTTTTACAGGGAGAATTTAACAGTAATACTTGTGTACCTTATGCCACTCATTTCTGGATTAAGGTGCAATTTTACCATCATTTCAATGACTTCTGTCAAGGCTGAAAAATCAGAGCACATGAAACAGAAGAGACTTAGTCACCATGTCATACTTCTCTAGTGAAAAGAATATTGCCTTACCCACAGCTTCTTCAATGTTATGCAATTAGGCTTTTATATATTTTTCTCTAAAAAGTTTGTGCTATAAAAATCAACTCTCCGTTCATTTTTATTTAAATTCCAGATTCAGAGAAAGAGTGGAAAGAATATCGCATTTTATCATTATCTGTTTATTAAAGTCTGTCAGGATCTGATAAAACAAAAAGTTAATAAATAAAACTGACTAAAAAGTTTATTGATAACCTTTAAACCACTAGATCATTAAAATAATTCCTTCTATACCTGAAACACTGTTTTAATGATGTCCCTGTCAAAATATGGAAAACAGTACAGTTTGACTGAACACTGAACCATAATTGTCCATACCCACATCTTCTGCTGCATTAATAATAGAGCAGTATTAGTTTTGAAATATCTGAAGTGAACGGCTCATTAATTTTTCACCTTAAGCTTAATAGAAATTTGACAAACAGTTCTATGCTGAGAATAGATACTCCAAGCAGGACTTCACAACACAGACAAGAATAAATTAGAGCATAAAAGACAGAATAAAGTGTTTCGGGGCAAATAAGATGGTTCTGTCATTCAATTGCCTGAAGTGAGCAGTTAGTTCAATGTATTTCTGTAAAAGCTGTATTCTTCCACTTTCTGCACTGCCCTTTGTCAACACTTGATCTTGTATTAACCACGGCAAAAACAAAGATGCGTAAACTGACACATCCTAGACATTTATATTATTTGCGCTTTGAACTCATATACAGCTTCCCCTCAACTTTGTTGATGCATTCAACAGCTGTTAGGCTTCCCCTGGCTCTCATGTAGCTAGTCACAATTATTTCTTCATACTTCCCTGCAAAATCAGTTTATCTGTGGTTGTCCTGACTCACAGCTAACCATGTGGCCAGGCTGAAAGGGACTGTGAAGTGCCTACTACAGGGAGACTCCACCAGACCATTGGTGGTTCTAGGTACCAAAACCATATCACTGCTGTTAATGTTAATAATTCTGCTACGCAGCAGCTATTTTGTTACATCTTCAGCTACGACTGCTTACAATACTGTCCACGAGCAGCATTTTTAAGACAGACATGACTCTTCCTACTCAAAAAGTAGCCTTCAATTAAGCCTTCACACTATCAATTAATACTGCTACACAACACTTGCACTGTCACATTGGTGCATTATCAATCAAGATTTGAGGGGGTTTTGTTGCTGCTCTTTTTGCACATTGCTCTTCCAACGAATAGTTCCACAAAGTAACACCTTTTCCTAAGACAAATCCTATTGACTTCCTACATACTTTTCAACGGCACTATTTGGTTGAAGCAGATCCTTAGCATACAGATCCCATCTAACCTCTGATATAAAATGTATACATCTGCTACACCTCACAAAGTCACTGACATATTTTTTTCCTTCCTAAATTCTCTCTTTGAACATGGGAAGAAAAATAAAGTGATTCTGGCTGTCACTTCTTGCTGTAATTGGATACAGTGAGAATATTCATCCAAAAAACCTGACGCTG